GAGCCGGCGTCAGGCCTGGTGGCGGCGGTGGGTACCAAGAGGAGGTCCGAGAGGCGTCTAGCTCAGCTCTAGTTCACCTAGCTGACGTAGGCATCCAAGAGGAAGTTGTGGGAGTGGAAGAAGGCGTTGCCTGGCCCTGTGGGAAATGCTTCTGCCTTCAGTTCGCGTCTTCTCCTTCGTGAAAAGCTTTGAGGGGACTCCTTTGGGTTCCAGACGTAGGCGAACAGGGTTTTGTATACTCTTCATGGCAAGATTTTTTTTTTCCTTTGGAACAACCACAGACGCCCTCCTTAGTCGTCCACTCAAAGCCTGCACTTCCCTTTCCAGCCTCTTGCCGACGTCCTGGGGGATTTCTAGGAGCATACTCCCTCCAGCCTCCCGTTCCTTCATCGCTTTTCCCTTAAAGGCGTAGAGAATAGTAATACACTTATATCATATTGTTCTTCAGCAAGATGTTGCAGACATCACAATTCCTTTTTTCAGTAGAATATTTGCAGGTTTGCACTGAAACAATCTATAAGGTTGAATAACACGTAAAGTTACTTGCTTAACGTCTTTTTTAGGGAATCCTGCAACAAGGTCCTATTGAAAGTGCCTCTCTCTAATATGTTTTAGGGAAAGCTTGTATCCTGTTTAAGGGCCTGTGTACTTTGCTCTTACCTAGACAATTGTATGGAATTACAGTGTCAACCTAAAAAAAAAAACAGAGAGAGACTCTCTGAAATAAAATAATTATTCAGGAATGGGCACTGCAATGGGAATTATGCGTGCCATAATAAAATATGTGCGAATTCAGGGAGGTAAAGGAAGACAAAAGTTTTTAAAGGAAAAATGAGGATTGAGTAACTGTTTCGAGGTAATTATTCTTCGCTGTAAGGATCAATAACAAAGGTGATGCCAGTGGGAAGTTAGGTAATTGCTGGGCAGATGTCCTCGCAGAATTTTTTTGTGTAAGGTTGCAGTGACCTTTGTGCAAGGTTGAGGTTTTTGCAGTCTTTGTGATAGTTCTTGTTATCAGGCATTTGTGCATGAGAACCCTCCCTATATGGACCTCCCAGGCTCTATTTGTCAGCGTTTTTAACACAAGTGGCTCCATTTTTATTCTGACAACTTTCACAAAGATCAGGGGAGATTGTAGTTAAATTGTATGCTTAGTCATGACCTCTGCCCTCTGGCTCAGGAGACGGGAATCCCAAATGCATTTCCCGAGAGCATGGTGACACACTCGCGTATTTTTTTTCCAAATCTACTTTCAGAGTTGCAAGTCAGTCACAGGAAGTGATCTTTTATTATAAGTATCAACTAAGTGTATAGAGTGTGTTTCCACAGAAGATTTTAACGTTTGGGGCCTTTTCTCAAATTTTTGGAATGGCTTAATGAATGGAATAACTGGCAAATAGTTTAATGAACGGAATAACTGGCAAACCACTGGTTGTATGTAAAACCGATTATGGGCTCTCATTTCATTAGTTATCAGTCTAGCTCCCCAGGTGGACTGGGTGCTTCAATCTAGAGCAAAGGGAACAGAGTGATTCAACAAGTGCCTTAGCATATTGTCTGGCCCAGAAATAATGAATGCTAAATGTATATTGATTGATTTAATAAGTGAATACATGAATCTATGCATGCCTGTTCCTAAAACTGTATTCCTTAGACCCCACATCCCTAAACCTCACTTTAGTAACAGCTGTAATGAGACCTAAGCTATGGACATATTAGAATTTTCTTGTTTTGTTAGTGTGAAAATAATTTTTAACTTGACTATTGATAATAAAAAACATATTTCTATGTAGATATGTTTTGTACATGCCTATTTTTATTGCAGTGTAAAAGACCAAATCAAAAATAATGAATGTTTTGATTATTTCCCTTAGAAAAGGACCCCATAGTCATTTTTGTATCCTCAGTTGTTCCATAACACATGACAAGCACATTGTCCATTCCCTAATCCCAGCACGGAACATTGAATATCTGTGAATTCCAGCTGTCCTGTAATGCACAACTGTAGGCAGTAAACTTTTGACCCAGGCAGGCCACAATGTGGGCAGACCTGGTGGACATGGCTGTAAAGAGTTGCAGCTGTCATGGTTGGGGTCTGCCAGATGGCCCCCCCAGCACCAATCCGTGTGTGAGAATCTCACTGAAGAACTGGAATGTTCACAAAATAAGCTGTGAACCCCGAGCAAAGTAAACAGATGGCAAGCTGGCTCTCAGACTTGTCTAACTCCAAGCTCTGTCCCTCTCAATTGATCTTTTGGCTAATATTTGTTTAACACACACCTACAAAATAATCCTAGAGATATGTTTATGCATATGTATACATAAGTGAATGTACATTTTTAAATGTTGAGAAAGATATATATATATATACATATATATATCTTTATATATACATCAAATAGTATAGTGGTTACCTCTGAGGAGGAACTGGGGATGGAGGGAGTAGTTGAGGAGAGCTTTGACTTTAGATTTACTATTTGAGTTTATATAAAAATGTATTCATATATTATTTGTGTGATCAAAATAATTAAAAGTAACTATATTTGTGTGATTCCCCTGCTCTGAATTCTTCAATATCTCTCTACTGCCTCCAAGCAAAAGTCAAAGGGATACAGACTCAAGCAGGTCTGGCTCTTGGCTGTCTGTGGGACTGATGTCTGTGGGCTAGAGCACTCTAGCCATACCAGCTTCCTGAAGGGCCCCAAACACCCCATGATGTCTTTTGTATATGCTGTTCTCTCCACTTTGAATGCCTCCCTCCACAGGACCCATTAGAGTGAACATCCCCTGTTTACCCCCAAGAACAATGGATGTGTAAAAAAGCAAAAGAGAAACAGGTGCTTGGTTTTTCAGACTAGTACCAATTCTTGGAATACCCTTTTTAAGAAAGTTTCCCAGGGTACAATTGACTGCAGTGTTACATATCTAATTATGCTGAGACCCAAGATTGAAAATGAACGCCTTTCCTCATTGCCAGACCAAGTCCGTGTCAAATGCGTACTGCACTGGGTTATAAGGATCAGATACAGAGTGAGTATTCTGGAACTGCCTGGGAAAGATGTTGACATGGCTATTCCATAGCTTGCTACCTAAAGGACTTATCAAACAGAAGTTATATGCAGTTATTTGTAATTAATACATTTATTAGTTGACATTTGAGAGTTAAGAAACCTGAGTTCTATCCTTGGGCAAGACATTTCCTCTTTCTAGGTCTGTTTTCCTTCTCTGTAAAATGAGTCCAAGATTGAACTAAATGATCTTTAAGATTTCCCATTCTAAGATTTTAGATTCTATAAATTTATGAGAGAGACATTAAAGAATTTTTACAACAGCCTTTCCTCAAATCTGCTCTTCTCTGATACTATTCCCCCTCCTTCTTGCTTCCATCAAACTTTTTAAAAAGTGGGCTACACACAAAAATGCCTACTTAATGGAAACAGTATTTTAACTTCTTGAAAAAGGTAGTTTGTCCATTATTAACTTTTTAAAATAAAAGTTCCTATGCAAAGCTACCACATCTTTTGTATCATCTGCCAACTTAACATCTCATTAAGGTTTCAACAATGTAAACAATTAATGTAAGCAACAATGAATAATTTACCTTCTGGAAGAAGAGCAGCAATAAAGAATCCTAGAAAACAAGAGCTGCACTATTTTACTACAAAAGATAGCAGCTTCTATCTGTAGGGTACTGGAAAACTTTTTGTATCTTAGAGGTAATAATGACAGTGATTAAATAGTAACTAAAATAAAACCTTTTTGAAATTGTCTAGCATAGTGCCTGCATATAATGGGCACTCAACATGTGCTTCCCATTTCTTCATTTCTGAGCACCAAAGCCTAACACATTAAATTCCCTAGTCAAGGACTAAAATATTTGCAGAGAGTCATGGTAATAGACTGGTTAGGCCCACATACTGGAGTCAGATTACCAGAGCGTGAATTCCATGTCCACCACTTACTAGCTATTTAACATTCTGGAAAAATGAGGACGAATAATAGTACTTGCTTCACAGGGTTACTGTATAAGTAAAATGAGACGGTCCAGGTCAAGTCCTTAGACACATGTCTAACAATAAATGTTACCTAATGGTAATAACATTGAGAACCTACTGTGTTCCAGGCACTGTGCTAGGTGTGTTATGTATATTATTTCCATTCCTCATGACAACCCTTGCAAAGTAGGTACAATTTTCATTTTACGGATAGGGAAGCAGAGAAGCTAAGTAACCAGCCTAGGCTTATAATCAGTGGCAGGACCAGGGCTCATGCTAGGTTTGTTGACTCTAAGATTCTGCCTCTCAAAATTGAGAATTTTCACCTTGAATTTGTTTGATTAATGGTGTAAATAGGTTGTACTGCCTTAAATACAAACTACAATTTTATGCTCAGAAACATTTTGTCTCCCAAACCATATGGAGAGTAAAACACTTTTTTAAAACAAAATCTACCATAGTCTTCAGCTTCTAATCCTGGTGTTGTCATTAGCTAGCTCTTGCTGAACCCATTTCATTGTCTCTAAAATGAAAGTTTGTTACATAGATCTTTTCCTACCCTAAAATTCTTTCCCCTCCTATTGGTTTAAAGTCATCTCCACAAGCTGTTGCTGCCATCCAGAGAAAATATTGTTGCAGGCCCAGAGAAGGGATTATATCTTGATGCATTAGGGTTCTCCAGAGAAACAGAACCAATAAGATGCACATGGGGTATTTCAAAAGTTAATGGCTAAACAGAATTGAAAGATAATATGAATCTTTCCATGAACTTTTTGAAGTACCCTCATGTATGTATGTGTATATAAATATACAAATATATAATATACAAATACACACAAACACACACATATTTATAGAGAGAGATTTATTATAAGAAATTGGCTTACACAATTATGGAGGCTGACAAGTCCCAAAATCTGCAGTTGGCAAGCTGGAGACCCAGGAGAGCTGATGGTATAGTTCCAGTCTGAAGACCAAGCGGGCTTGAAACCCAGGAAGAGTTGATGTTTCAGTTCAAGTCTGAAGGCAGAAAAAAGCTGATGTCCCAGCTTGAAGGCAGTCAGGCAAGAGAAGTTCCCTCTTACTAAGCCTTTTTGTAAGGCCTCTTTTCAGCAATGACAACCAAAATAGAAGCTTGTAGCATAAGGAGGCAATGTATTTGCAAATCCATCCTTTCAGCTAGAGCATGGAATAAGTTGTGTTCCGCCTTCCTGGGAGGAGTCTGGACCTATGGGCCAACATATAGCTCAGATCCACATGAACCTCTTAAGCTAGTTAAAACTATTACTGCTCTAGCATAAATATTATTTGATGAATGTGATAAAATTCAGAGTCCCATATCCAGAGATTCTGATTGAACATCTGGAGAAGAGCCCGTGAATCTACTCCAGGTGATTCTGTTTCAGATGAGAAACATTGCTCAATCACATTGATTTGTGGTTTTTATAGAAGACTGAACAAAGAGTGGGTCATATGATTTCCTAAGGCCTATCTGGGATGTGCATCATTTACTTTCTCAAATAATGGGCTACTAACTTGAAGATGGCATTTATATACGTTGGTGTTTATCCAATAGTCCCAGGATGGGTTTGAGGCTCCCTGGATGGGAAGTTGTACTCTATATAATGGAGCTTGCACTCATACCTCAAGATTTCATATCTATAAAAGGTATTTCATATAGTCCAAAGTATACCAATATTGCAAATCATGATGACCAACTTCCACAGCCTCCTACTCAGCACTGAGCTGTTTTTTATGCAGAGTGAAATCATTGGCCTGGGGTGGGCCTTGACTCACAGTCTGGCTGAGGACTAGAGGTGGTCTGGTACAAAACGTTCTGCCCAGCAAGGGCAATGGTAACTGACTAAACAATCAGATAGGTTCCACCCAGAATGTGGTGTGGCAGACCTGAGACCATTAACCATTAGGTAGTAAGAGATAAAACTGCTAAACAGGAGGGCAGCCCCCTCCACCTGAAAGCAGGCAGGAGAGCACACCCAGGGTCCTAAGCAAAGAGCCAAGGGCACCCCCCACCCTGCCCAGAAGCAGGCAAGAGAGCATGACAAAAACACCACTTCTGTGCGGGTGGCCCACCACAGCCACTGCCACAGGAGCCACAAAAGTGGCTCAATGCCACAGCAGTAGCTACAGCCACTGTGCAGGCAGCCCACCCAGCACTCAACTGCACTGACACAAGGAGAGTCACCAGCAGAAACCAGAAAAAAAAGAGGACATCTCTCTCCTCAAAGCCCACCCCAGAATAATAGAAGCAAGTGCTCTACCAGATGACCAGACATCAACATAGAGATACTAGAAATATGAAAATCCAAGAAAATATGACACCACCAAAAGAATACAGTAATTCTCAAATACCAGGCCCTATAGAGCAAGAAACCCTTGAAATGACTGAAAGGGAATTCCTAGCAACAATTTTAAGGAAACTCACTGAGATATGAGAAGACTCAGTTAGACAACACAGTGAAATGGGGAAAAAAATCCAGGATAGGAAGGAGGAAATTTACAAAGAGATTAATACCTTAAAAAAGAATGTAGCAGAACTCAGGGAACTGAAAGATTCACTCAACAAAACAAAAAACACTACCAATATCTTAAGCAGCAGACTAGTAACAAGGAGAAGAAAGAATTGCTGATCTTGAAGATAGTCTTTTGGAAATAACCCAGGTGGACAAAATAAAGGAAAAAAGAATTTTTAAAAATGAAGAACATCTAAGAGAGCTAGCAGACAACCTTAAGTGCACAAACATTCAAATTGTGGGTGTTCCAGAAGAGAAGAAGAAAGGAAAAGGCACGGAAAACCTATTCAATGAAATGATAATGGAAAACTTCCCAGGTATAGGGAGAGACATGGACCTTCAGATCCAGGAGGCTCAAAGATCCCCAAGCAGATTCAACCCAAAAAGATCCTCTGCAAGACACATTATAGTCAGACTGGCAAAGCTCAAAGACAAAGAGAGAATCTTAAAAGAAGCAGGAGAAAAGCTTCAAGTCACCTGTAAGGGAGCCCCTATCAGACTAACAGCAGACTTCTCAACAGAAACTCTACAGGCCTGAAGAAAATGGGATAATATATTCAAAATACTAAAAGAAAAAAACTGCCAGCCAAGAATACTATACCCAGCAAGGCTATCCTTCAGAAATGAGGGAGAAATAGTGTATTTTCTACACAAACAATAACTGTGGGAGTTCACCACCACATGACTGGCCCTGAAAGAAATCCTTAAGGGAGTCCTGCATTTGGAATCTGAAAAACAATAATCACTACCATGATTACACAAGAAAGAACAAAATCCACTGGTAGGACAAAAATGCAAAGGATAAAGAGAAAGAAACTAAATCTTACCACCACAAAAAACCGTAATGACAATGTAATAATGTCACTGCTTTATTTCTGATTTTAGTAATTTCAGTCTTCCCTCTTTTATTATTGGTCACTCTAAATAAAAGTTTGCAAAATTTTTTGGTCTTTTTAAAGAGTCAACTTTTGGTTTTGTTGATTTTCTCTATTGTTTTTTAACTCCCTATTTCATATATTTGTGTTGTACTCTTTGCTATTTCCTACTCATATTTGCTTTTGGTTTAGTTTGCTTTTCTTTTTCTATTTCTTTAAGGTAGAAGTTTACATTACCAATTTGAGATTTTTCATATTTTTAATATAGATGTTTACAAGTATAAATTTTCCTCTAAGCACTGCATGAGCCCTGCATTCTATAAATTTTGATATGTTGCACTTTGATTTTTATCTCAAAGTACTCTAATTTCCCTGTGACTTTTCTTTTTAAGCATTGTTTATTTAGGAGAGTGTCATTTAATTTCCATACATTTGTGAATTTTCTAAATTTCTTTATGTTATTGTGGTCAGAGAATGTATTTTCTATGACCTTAGTCTTTTTAAATGTATCAAGACTTGTTTTGTGACAAAAAAAACCCCAAAACAACAACAACAAAACAAACCTCCTAAGCAGAGAGCACACATGCCATCAGGGAAACTATTGGGAACACAGGTATAGTGGAGGACAGAGTAAGCAAAGCCAAATCTCAGAGATGCCTTGCTCCCAATGACTTTCAAGTCCTTCCTTGCCTGCTCATAGTCCTACAGTCAACCCCCCCTTTCTTAAAGGTGTTTGAAGTCATATTCTTTGCAACCAAGAGCCTAACTTCACACATCAAGGTTCTTGGCTTTACCAAATGTGAAGGTTTGAGGGATGTCCTTTTGAGATTCCTTCTAGCACTCTAGAGATGCTCCCCCTTTCCAATGCTATTACTCTATTTGAGTGATGGGAGGGGCAGAAAATTCTTCAGGTGTTGCAAGTGCAGCCCAGACTTTCCAGGGTCACAGCTCTGGTGGTGAGCTGTGCCTTCAGTGAAATTTCCCCACTATGCATGGTGGTGTCTGAGTGGGCACTTGCTTAGGTCCCTGCAGAAATTGTGATTTGAAATTGTGCCCTTGAGCTCCCAGAGGGCACTGATCTTCATTCTCTCTGAATTCACTAACAGGAACGTAGTGCCTGGAGGGGAGTAAGTGCTCAATACATAATAATTGAAAAACAGAGCACTTGCACGTAATCTTTTTTTGATTCTTAAAACTTTTGGGAGAGTTTTGGTTTGTTTTTACAATCAGTCCCATTTCACATTTGAGGAAATAAAATTCAGTGATGTTAAGTGACCTGGCAGAGATCAAAAAGTTAAATCAGTGGTGGATCAAAACTCTCCAAAAGGATATAATACCCAAGTGATAACCCAAGTTCTCTTGCTTCCACAGCAAAAATTCTAAATCATTTTTCCTCATCCCACAACCACTGATATAGCTTAGATCTTCACATTTCTAACCTCCTGTATTAGTCCATTTCTGTTGCTTATAACAAAATACCTGGAACTACATGATTTATAAGAAAACAAAATTTATTGCTTAAAGTTTTGGAGGCTGGGAAGTACAAAGTCCAAGGAACACTTATGATGAGGGCCTTCTTTGGTGGTAGCTTTACAGCAATGTGGGAGTCTTACACGGCAGAAAATGGTGGAGCAGAAAGAGAAACTCACATGCTCTCCTTTTAAAGCCCTCAGAACCCTGCCCCTGACCACCATCACTAATCCATTCACTACAGCATGCCCTGCAATCTCATCACCTCTTTAAGGCCCCACCTTTCAATTATCATAATAGGATTTCCCACCCTCAACAATTACAGTGGGAATTAAGCTTCTAATGTATGAACTTTGGGGGAAACAACTCAGTCAATCCACAGCATCTCCCAATAGATCGTCCCCAGTGTATCTCCCATACCACTACCAAAGTTAACTTTCCAAAACGCAAATCTGGTCAAGTCTATTGCATACAAGACAAGGGCCCAAACTCTCCTGGTTTTCAAAGCTCTCCATGATTGGGCCTCAGGTTGCTTTTCTAGTCTCATTTCTATCATCGTATTCCATTCATATCAGTTATGGTATTAACATGCCATTTGTTTCTCTTCCATGACCCATTTTTAGCTTTTTCCCAGCCAGCTATGTGTATGTACGTAAGTATATAAAACTATGCCATACATACAAGAGTATGGGTAACAAATTTTTGGCTTAGATTGTTAATGAAAGAGCAATCATGCTCCCAGCTAAAGAGCCACATTACCAAAATTCCTTGTAAAACATGCTAGAATGCCCTTCGAGGCCTTAGTCTGCATAGTGAATTTAGGCTTTGGAACCTTGGATTAAGTTTACCTAATCCGGAAAGCCTCCACTGAGGCCCCTGAGGGATACTTACTGCTTCCATTGTACTTCATTATGGCATTTATAACCATACTACATTTGCTTACTTGTTTGCCTGTCCAGTAGGTTGAAGTTGGAAAATATTTAATCTCTGAATCCCTAGCAACCAGTATATAGGCTAGTCACACAGCAAATGCTCAATAAATGGGGTGTCCAATTTGCCTGGGAGACCCCTGGTTTATGCCTGATGTCCTGGAGTAGCTATTAAGTGCTTTTTTCACTCATGAAAGTGTCCTAATGTAGATAACCAAATATATGATCACCTTCTCAATAATGTTGAGTGAATAGATGAAGTAACAAATGGAGAAAGATTTTAACTGACAGAATTCTAGACAGGGAAAGCAGATATATTAAGATTCCCAAAGAAAAACTCAACAATTGGCCACTGTACCTCTTTCTCCTCTAGGGTTGTTTGACTCTCCTGGGGACAGAGATGAATTTTCACAGACCAGATACTCAGTAATCTTTATTGCATAAGTAAGTTGAAAAATGTTAGCATATTCCTACTTCAAGAAAACTTAGATGTAAAATGTGAATTTATAGTACATATCAATGTGGCAGAGATTATTAAACAATATCTAAGTTTACTACTTGATGAGACCTCCCTGGTACAGAAATTTAAAGAGCTGAATTTACTACTTATTGAAAATCAGAAATGCAGATTAAATACTCCTAAAATGATAACAGTCAACTGGGACATATGATTTTAAAAATAGATGCACTGTTTTTGAAGGAATCTCTTAAATATATATATATACACACACACATATACACATACACACACCAGTTAGTTGCCATTGCTATTAGGCAAAGATACAATCTCCTTGAGTTTTGTATTATTATAAATACAAATTTCATTTAAACCTCTTTTGTTATTCAAGTAGAAAAAACTTTTTTTTTTTTTTCCTTTTTGTCTTTTTTCGTGTCCGGCAACGGATCGCAACCCTCAGTGTCGCGCCCGTACCGGACCGGGACCGGCAATGGGATCGCAACCCTTGGTGTTGCGGCCGCACCTCGCTCAGCCAGTGAGCGGGAACTGGTCTGTATGTGGGATCCGAACCCTCGGCGGGAGCGCCGCCATGCTCCCAAGTGGCGCACTGTAGCAGTGCGCCACCGGGCCGGCCCAGAAAAAACTCTTTTTAACTACTGTTACACACAAAGTGGAAAGTGAGGCAACCCATCTATTTTGACAATTATCTTCTCTTTCTCCAACAGTGCCATCTGCTTTGCAAGTCAAGGTACTTCCTTGTAAATAAGGCTTTTAATAAATTACAAATATGTAATAGGTTCTTGTCCATCTTTTTCCTAACTTCTTAATGCACTGTTGCACAGCAACAATTTTCTTTTCTGCTGCTTCTTTGTTGGAAGTCTGAGAGTCTGAAATCTGCACTGACTTGGTTGACCTTGGGAATTCTTTTGGTACTGGGGGTGCAAATATCCATTGTAGAAATCAGTAGCTGTTAGTGTTTTCTTAAGCATCACTGATCGAACACCTATCCAGCCATCCTAAAGGGCAAAAGACAAACAGTGATGGCAAAATGAAAATCTAAATAAATTTTAGTTTATAAAATTTTTATCATGGAAATAAACAAGCCTTTACTAAATGCCTAGCTGCAAATAGCACTGTTCTAAGTAACATATACAATTCTTCGACTCTGTTTATTACTAAGAAGACAGAATAAATGTACAGACCTGTATAAACCTAGATAAACATAAACGGAGCAGAATAAAATGTTATATTTGTGCTTTACAGTTTTCAGAGGATATCTACGTATCTTAATGTGACTGGACATAAAACAACAAATCTAAAAGGCAGGCAGATCCAATATCATCCCCATTTTAGAAGAGGAAACTGATGCCCAGAGAGGTAGGTGATTTGTCTGAGGTAACACAACTGGTAAGACTTAAATTCACATGTTCTATGAGAACAAACTGCAGACATGCAATACATATATACACAGTCCCAGACAAGGACAGCCAGACACAGGCACCCAACACTGTTCCAGAGTAAGCTGAAGAGAGATGAAGAGAAGAGTTCTGTTTCTACAGTCTTTGTAGGTCAGATTAATCTATCACACATTTTAAACACCCCTTCTTGAGCCTGATGCACCTCACACAAACACCACATGACAGCAAATACCCAGGAAATGGAAGAAATGTAGAACACGTCTCAAGAACACACCATTGTCTTATAAAACAATAATGGTTCCAATGTCATTTTAAATCGTTCATAAATCTCCTCTCTAACTACTGTTGAGCAGCAAAATCAAGTAGGATATGTGCCCCATAGTAGTTCAGCCAGATACTTCGATATGACTATCTTTTGTTACCAAGCACAAGAACTTGTTAATTAAATTTGAAAGCACTCAAGTTACTGAAGCTCCTTTCATTGATTGAGTAACAATAATGGTTTGGTAACATTTTATCACTTTCAAAAAATTATGCTAGAAATTACACTATTTCTTAAGATAATTAAACTGTCTATGACCCAATCTGATGGACAGTTAAGTGAAATCCTAACTAAAGATGATAAATGATACAATCTATAAACTCAAAACAAATATAATTTGAAACTAAAGCAAAATGTACCTTGCAATAAACCAGCAGTATTTGTGACTGTTTGTGGTATATTACTGATCCTGGAATAACAGCCTGTCCTGTTAATTTTGGATCTGAATGGGGGAAAAAAAAAGATATGAGAGAGAGGAAAATAAATAATTAGGCAACTTTATGATACCTAAAAATCAAAAGCCACTTTGGGAAGCAATACTAGTGTTAAAGAGGACACATTTGCTGACGCTGACTTTGTAATACAAACTTACGACGGAGCCATGGTGTTCTGTGTACATCACCAACCCAAAGGAAAGCCTTCAATACATATAAGAAGCTACAAGTCCTTCACCCAGTCTCCCAGTGATCACCTAAAATGCTGACTCTAGAAGTTTTGTGTTACCATTTTGGGGAAATAACTACCCATCAGTAGAGAGATGTACAGGATGCTTAGGATTTAAGCTGGTCCTTCCATCCCTGCCCAAACAAGTCGCAATTCCCAGGTTCCTGGGGAACGCCAGCTACCTCTGGACTACACCAGCTCCCTCCGTGGCTCACTCTCCTCTGTCCACTATACTGGGAGGGCAGTGATGGGCCACAGAGTGGACCTGTGGTGTGAAATGCTACACCCTGCCTTAGATTTTCACTGAGCTGTTCAGATATTTTCATTATAATTGTCACCAGAATGAAATTAACCAAGTCATTTTACACTCCCTGAAAACCTTAATGTAGGAAATCAAAGAGCTTAAAATGGGATAGGAACACTGCTCTGCCTACTTCCCAGGGTCTTGTGATGATTAAATGAGAAAATACATGTGAATGCTGCGAAGACTGAAACAATAAATGAATATAAAGTATTATCATTATTTAACTGAAACAAACTGAAAGAATCCTTATTTTTAGTAAGTGTGACCTATGGCAACACAGACACATTTTCAAATAGACTGTAGCAAAAATATCTTCCGTGTCAGCTATCCAAAGTTAGTACCAGCAAGGATTGAATTGTTAACTTCTACCAAATCCAGAAGTTTAATGGCATTCTCCATCCAGAGTGTCTGCAATGGGATCTGCAAATAAAATTAAAGAAAGTATGATAAAGGAATACACTCAACACACAAACCCTTTCCAGCTACTATTTTGCATTAATATGGTTTGACTTTTCTCCCAATTACAGAGGAAATGGGCACTCAGTCACTAAAACTTTATAAAACAGAACATAAATGTGACCTCTGCATCAGTCTTTCCAGCATTTTATAAGATCTTAAACATTATTTTTAAGTCAATATTTATATCTTTCTTAATATTTCCATTTGAAAATTTATGCTCATTATAAAAAAGACAAGCATTACAGCATTTATGTTGTAAAAACTTTTAGAAAGTGATAGGATTCTGTATTTCTATCCCGAGGTAACAAATGTTAACAATTTGATGTGTATTTCCCTGTATTTTTTTCTACAAATATTATTGATATAAAAGTCTAGAACACACTGTTTCACAAGGAACTTTTGATAACCATAACGATGGACTTTTCATCAGTACACACTTATCTATTTCACTTGCATCTGCTGCACAGCATTCCAGTTTATGAATGTATAATTTATGCAACTAATGCCTTTATGATGGATATTTCAGTTATTCTCAATTTCTTGCTATTATAAAATTATAAAGTGTGGTAATCAACAGCCTTGTAGATATATCTTTCAGCACTTATATATTTCTGGAGAATAGTTTTGTTTTGTTTAAATGGAATGGCTGGGTTAAGGAACATCAACATTTTACTGTTAAATTGCTATGATAAGTGAAAAAAAATGAAAATCTATTGCTGTTTATTATTAGTAAGGCTAAGGAGCTTTCCATGTATTTACTTACATTTTTTATTTATTCTTCTATAAACTGCTTGTATTAGTCCATTTCTGTTGTTTATAACAAAATACATGGAACCAGGTAATTTGTAAGAAAACAAAATTTATTGCTTAGTGTTTGAGGCTGGGAAGTCCAAAGTCCAGGGAACACATGTGGTGAGAGCCTTGGTGGTGGCAACAGTGATGGCAGAGTATCACATTGTGAAAACGGTAGAGCAGGGAGAAAGACTCTTCAAGTGCTTTCCTTTCAAAGCTCTCAGAACCACGCCCCTGACCACCATTATTAATCAATTCAATACAGCATGGTCCTACAATCTAATCACCTCTTCGAGGCTCACCTTTCAATTACCGTAACAGGATTTCCCACCCTCAACAGTTACATTTGGGATTAAGCCTCAGTGAGGTTGAGGGGGCATGCAGTTTACAGCACTGCCTATTTATGCCCTTTGCCCATATTTTTAGAAACTGGGTTGCTCATCTTATTTATTAATTCATTTGCAAAAATCTTTTATATATAAGGAAATTAGCTTTTTTTTTTTTCAAAAGATCTTAAGGGGATCTTAACCCTTGACTTGGTGTTGTCAGCACCACACTCTCCCAAGTGAACTAACTGGCCATCCCTATATAGGGATTCAAACCTGTGGACTTGGTGTTATCAGCACCACACTCTCCCAAGTGAGCCATAGGCCGGCCCTGGAAATTAGCCTTTTAACTCTTGTATGTGTTATGAATATTTTTCCCAGTTTGTTGACTTTTAGCCTTGGGAACAGTCATTTTTTCCCCCCATACATAATTTTATGAAGTTACATTTATGAGTATTTTCTCTCATGACTTCAGTGGTTCATATCATGTTTACAAAGGCCTACCTGACACTCTCAGATTATTAAATACTGTAAAATTATTCAACTGTGCTTTTTTCCAGCCCTTGTGGTTTCATTTTTTATAAGTAAATCCTTGATCCATCTAGGTTTATTTTGATTTTTTAATCTATTTTTATATCTATTTTTTCTATCCTATTGACAAATTTTAAGTGTACAGTATACTACTGTTAACTATATATGCATTATTGTACAGCAGTTATTTTTATTTTAAAAGGACTTGAGGGTTACCCCCTCCAATGGCTAGCTAGTTTCTCAATGATATTTATTGGATAATCCATCTCACCTTTCCCCCCAAAATGAAATGCCATCTTTATCATATAACACATTTCCAATATACCTGAGATTCCAGAACTTGATTTCAGTGTTAATAATGGGCTGGCCAGTTAGCCCAGTTGGTTAGAGAATGGTGCTGACAACACCAAGGTCAAGGGTATGATCCCTGTACTGGCCAGCGCCAAAAAAAAGAATGAATGCTAATAAAAATGAACACACACCAGGAAATAAGTTCTCTCAAATTTCTAAGTTGAGTACATTTATTTTCAGCTGTATTTCAATCCTCTATTTCACAGATGAAGAAAGTGAGGCTCAAAGAAATATTGCTATTTTCCCAAGGTTAGATGCAGCTATCAGCAGTGGCAGAACAAGGATCAGATTCTCTTTTCTGATTTTCAGCTGTGATCTTTTTATGACATCCCTTAAAGAGGACATTTAACTTTCAGAAGAGTTAGGTTGTTGGAATGATTTGAATATTAAATCAAAGAATTTAATAAATTTGAAGAAAAAGTTCATAAGTGTCCATCACCATCTATATGTCATATTTTGGTACAATATTCTCTTATATAACTTGCTGGCTCATTTTTCTTTCCCTTGCTCTCAAAAAAAAATATGAAATGATTTTCATGTGTGTAATTTTTTTCTTTCAAAGAACTCAATATTTTTGAAATATGCTTACAGACTAAAAAAAGATTTACATTTACTGAGAATAACAAACATGCTAAGCACATACTCAGAATAAACAGTTCTTGTTCTTGAGGCAGTAAAGTTCAACTTATCAGAGCACTGCAGAAAGGAAAGTGATGTTAAGAATATCATCATTTCAGTGTCTACCATCACTACCATCAAAACCATGTTTGCGTGGGCTTAAATTTCTCCACTGAATTGTCTTGGCACTGCAGAAAGGAAAGTGATGTTAAGAATATCATCATTTCAGTGTCTACCATCACTACCATCAAAACCATGTTTGCGTGGGCTTAAATTTCTCCACTGAATTGTCTTGGCACTGCAGAAAGGAAAGTGATGTTAAGAATATCATCATTTCAGTGTCTACCATCACTACCATCAAAACCATGTTTGCGTGGGCTTAAATTTCTCCACTGAATTGTCTTGGCACTGCAGAAAGGAAAGTGATGTTAAGAATATCATCATTTCAGTGTCTACCATCACTACCATCAAAACCATGTTTGCGTGGGCTTAAATTTCTCCACTGAATTGTCTTGGCACTGCAGAAAGGAAAGTGATGTTAAGAATATCATCATTTCAGTGTCTACCATCACTACCATCAAAACCATGTTTGCGTGGGCTTAGATTCACAGTTTATCTCCTTTGATCTTGACAGTTGTGTACAGAGTCCTTAACCCCATTTTAAAGGTAAAAAAGCAGAAACTCAGAGAAGGTAAGCACCTTGCTCTTGGTTAGTAAAGGGCAGCTCTAGGAATCAAACCCCACCTTCTGGCTCCAAGATATGTGCTCAGTCTTTTATAGCACACAGCTTTTCTCAGTGGATAGGAGATGTGAACAGCAGAAATAAAGGATTATTATGTAGTAAATCAGGGATGCTAAGATTTCAAACTACTGGCTTAAATTGCATCTCAGGAAGTTGTTTACTTGATATTTCAATCTGGATGTCTTCTAAGTATCTCAAACTTACATGGCCAAAATAGAACTATTGATTTCTCTCCCCAAATCTGTTCCTCCCTAGACATCCTCATTCAATTAAATGGCACCACTATTCACCCAGTTGCTCAAGCCAAAAAACTATGAATGATCCTAATTTCTCTTTCCTTAATTCCCTACATTCCATTAGCAAGTCCTATTGACTCCATCTTCAAAGCATAGTCTGGATGTCCACTTGTTTCTATCCACTATTATCACTGTTCCAAACTGCCACCATCTGTCACCTGGGCTACAGTTCCAGCTTCTTAATTGACCTTCACTCCGTTCTCCAACAGCAGCCAGAGTGACCTTTTAAGAATATATACCCAATCTCGTTACTCCCATGCTCAAGCCGTCCAGTGACTTCCCACTACTTGATTTGCCTCTGACCTCATCTCATGCTACTTTCCACCTTGCTGCCTATGCTCCAGCCACACCAGTCTCATTTCTGTCCCTTAGACAGGTCCAGCTCTTTCCTACTATTCTGGACATGTTACATAAATGGAATCATACAATATGTAGTCCTTTGTGACTGGCTTCTTTCACTTAGCATGGTGTTTTCAAGGTTCATCCACGCTGTAGCATGTGATTATGATTATGGCTGAATAACATTCCATTGTATGAATATACCACAATTTATTTATGCATCCATCAAGTGATGGACATTTGGGTTGTTCCACTTTTCGACTATTCTGAACAATGCTGTTATGAACATTTGGGTACAAATTTTTGTGTGGACATGTTTCCAATTCTCTTGTTTCTAAATCTAGGAGTACAAATGCTGGGTCATATGATAACACTAACTTTTTGAGGAACTGCCAAACTGTTTTCTACAGTGATTGCATCATTTTACATTCCCACCAGCAATGTATGAGAGTTCCAAATTTCTTTGCCAACACTCGTTAGGTCTATTTTTTTTAAATTATAGCCAGTCTAGTGGGTGTGAAGTGGTATCTCATTGTGATTCTGATTTGCATTTCCCTAAAGATTAATGAAGTAGATCATCTTTTCATGTGCTTACTGGCTATTTGTATATCTTCTGGGGAGAAATGTCTATTCACATTCATTGGCCATTTTCTCATTGGGTTGTCTTTTTGCTGTAGAGTTGTAAGAGTTCTTTATATATTCTGGATACTAGACCCTTATCAGATATATGATTTGGAAATATTTTCTCCCATTCTGTCAGTTGTCTTCTTTACTGTCATGATAGTATCCTTTGAAGCACAACAGTTTTAAATTTTGATGAATTCCAATTTCTCTATTTTTAGTTCAGTTGCTT